GGGAAGATAAAGGAAGAGTGTTACTCTGTTTCAGGTTCCAGAAAAAATGGCGATGCCCGCCTGTCTATGTTGAGTGTTCCCCTTCCCCATTTGAGAGGAAGGAGAACACCTCTCTCCCTCTTTATGAGAGGGATCGAGATTTATACTCCCTCTCTGGGGGGATCAATCAAATCCCCCAACACTGTGGGAGAAGAAGGTTTAGTAACCTCCCCCTCCCCTTCCCCCGACAAACTTGGCCCTCCGTGGCCTCCGAGTTCATCAAGGGGGCCAGAATCCTCCAGCGTCGTCCAGTTGTACCATCACGTCCTCCATATACGTTCAGTTGTAACACCATTACCCACAGTCTTTAATAAATGATTCAATTACTCACTATCAATATGTACAAACGAACGATCGGGAAAAACAAAACTCAGACGAGGGGCTCACTTACATGTTCAAGACAGAAAGATCTAACAGAGAGGCGTACCACGAACATTATCAATGGAACTATCATTACAGAGACAATCCACTGAAACTTTATTACAAAGAAGTTGTCGAGAAGAGCGTTGAAGGGAATGTGTGAATAAGGCGACTTGAAAGAGCAACTCTGACAAGAACATCCAGCCCCATCCCTTTGACCTCATCGCGCTGCTTTTCAAACTTCTTATTGTTCAAGAGTAACGTTGATAAAGCAGAATGGACTAAGAACTTAGGATAACGACGAATACAATTACAGAAATCAACAAGTAGTATGGGTTGATAGGAAAAGGAGGAAAGATGCGGATAAGGGACTGGAAGGAAGACGTTGCAATGCGAAAGGTAATCTCTAGGAACAAACAACTTCGCCCCCATTGGTCTTTCTCTTTCAAACTTGTTCAAGTTCAAATGAGAGATCAGCTCATGAAAAACAAGCAGAATGAACAACGTTATGTAACTGTGCAATCGAGAGAAAAGAACCAAAAAGGAAATATTGATCGCTCAACAGCTCCAGCTCTTCACACTGATGTCCTGATGGGTAACTACGACTTCAAACCAGTTGGAAATAAGACATAAGGAACTTCATCATGAAATAACAAATCAAAAA